TCAAAACACAAAAGTCACTAAATAACAAAATGAAGTTGGGAAAATTTTCTATTTGTTGTGCTGGAAGAACTAAAGGGACAACTAGGTATAAATAGTAAAATAAAAATAAAAAATTAAAAAAAAGAACAAGAAATCTATTTGTAATTGCACTAAGGTCCCAAAAATGAATTTTTTGGGGTCTTGTTTTTTAGCTAAAATGAGCAAAAAGTTTCAATAGGTTTTTTAAACTAATAATATAAAAATACAAATTAAAAATAGCAAATCTTCACAGTAATTTTCACCCATGGTCTAATATAGTGAATTTGGTATTGACTATTATTGGGGTTAAATGAAACTAAGGGTTTAACTGAATTTAAACTAATAATATAAAAATACAGATTAAAAAAAAGCACCCCGTCTTCCCTAAATAATTGCACTATGGTTTAATATAGGAATTTGTATTGACTATGTATTGAGCTAGAAAGAGGGTATAGTAAAAACTAGGGGTTTTGAAAAAATAAAAAATACAAAATTTCAAAAGCACCATTCCCCTCACTAAATTTTCACTAAAGGGCGTATAGTGAATTTGGTTTTTGACATGTATTGACTAGGAAATGAGGGTAGGTAAAAAATGTGAATTTAAACAAAAAATAAAATAAAAGGGAAAAAGACTCTCAATTGGGGAATTGCCCAAGGTCTTATATAATTGTTTTCAAAATTTGAGGGATAATTAGATTTAAACTGAAAAGGATAAAATACACAAAATTTAAAATAGCAAAAAAATTTAAAAAAAAAAATGTTTAAAAAAAAAAAAAGGGAAAGACTTGGTTTTTTTAAAAAATGCTAAATAAATGGTAGAAAGGAAAAATAAAAAAGTTGTAGTTTTAAAAAAACTAGTTTAAAAAATTTTGGGGAAAAAAAAGGTCAATAAAAGAATTTTCAATTTAAATTTTTATCAAAATAGTTTAAATTTAAAAATTTCCTGGGGTTTTTTCCCCGGGAGAGTTTCGGGGTCAACGCCCCCCCGGCCCTGGGCTGGACCCGGCCTCCTTGGGGGAACAAGGGCCCGATCAACCAGGGCTGTTTCGCTTTGGGTGCCGCAAAACCAAAGAAAGACCACAGCCCGGGTGATCAGGAAAATGATTGGGCAAAAATAGGGATTTAGAATAAAATTGGGCCCCCTTGGGTTATTTTTTTTAAAATGAGGTAAAAAATTATTGAAAGGGAAAATTAAAAAGGTTTTGTTTATAATAAAATAAGATGGAACAGTGAAGTGGTAAGTTTTAAAAAAGGAGATAGTTCTGAAAAATATTAAACACAAATTTAAAACTATGTGGGAGAATTTGGGCGTTGAATACAACCCAAAAGACAATCAAAAGTAGTTTGGGGGATTGAATTTTAGGGGGGGGCAAATTTAAAGGGCAATATAACACAACGGGGGGACTAAAGGGGAATTTTCTGCACTTTTCCCCTGATTCTGTTAGTCCACCCCCAAATTAGGAAAAGTTTTTAAGGGCAAGTTCTGTGGAGATGAATTCTCTTTCCCAGTGGGGTTTTCCTAACTGCGATTTTTTCCCCCTCCCTCACAAAGCCTGGTTGGGTTTTTTGGGGATAGCGCAATTTTTTTACCGGGTTAAAAAAAGGTTTTGTCTTGTTTTGGTAAGGGGCCCCATTGAGTAAACTCAGTTTTTATAAAAAAATAGATGGTTTTTAGTTAAAGGGTTTTTTTTTTGAAGGCTAATTTTTGGGAATTTTTTAAAAGCACTGTTTTTTTAATGTTGGTTGCCCCTCAGTTTTTCCAAAACCCCTTTTGGTCATCGCTTACGTATGTTTAAGGGGAAGGTGGTCCTTGATAAGGGTGTAGGGGGTGGGCTCCCCTGCAGGGGCCCCTTGGGTGACTGTGGGTGGGGGGGGTGTTTGCTGTTAACAAACAGCGGGCAACATTTCCCGTTGGTCATTATGGTCTTGGAATTTTGGGTTTTGGGCCCGGGGAAGTTGTTGGTTCCCCTCTTACCTGGAGTTTTTCCTGGAGAAGTTCCGGGGGGGCAAGCCCCCACCCGGGGGCCCCGGGCTGAGACCACCCCTTTGGGGGTCAAGCCTGATCAACCAGCTGTTTTCTGCTGGTGCAGCAAAAACCCAAAATAGGCCACAGGGCCCCGGGTTATTTCCGGAAAAGACTTTTTGGTGGGTTGTCCAGTGCCAGCTTGAAGACTGCCAGGGGTCTGTTGGTAATCCCCCTTATGTGTGCTGGGAGGCAGTTGAACAGTCTCGGCCCCTGACACTATTGTATGGTCCTTAACGTGCTAGTGACACCCCTGCTTTTCATTGGGGGATGGTGCATCGTCTGCCAAGTCTTGTGCTTTCGTAGTGGGTGATTTTCGTGTGCAAGTTCGGTACTAGTCCCTCTAGGATTTTCCAGGTGTATAATATCATGTATCTCTCCCTCCTGCGTTCCAGGGAATACAGGTTTAGGAACCTCAAAGCGCTCCCAATATTGAGGTGTTTTATCTCCGTTATGCGCGCCGTGAAAGTTCTCTGTACATTTTCTAGGTCGGCAATTTCACCTGCCTTGAAAGGTGCTGTTAGTGTGCAGCAATATTCCAGCCTAGATAGAACAAGTGACCTGAAGAGTGTCATCATGGGCTTGGCCTCCCTAGTTTTTGAAGGTTCTCATTATCCATCCTGTCATTTTTCTAGCAGATGCGATTGATACAATTTTATGGTCCTTGAAGGTGAGATCCTCCGACATGATCACTCCCAGGTCTTTGACGTTTGGTTTTTCGCTCTATTTTGTGGCCAGAATTTTTTTTTGTTACTCTGATGAAGATTTTAAATTTCCTCATGTTTACCATATCTGAGTAATTTGAAATTTCTCATCGTTGAACTTCATATTGTTTTCTGCAGCCCACTGAAAGATTTGGTTGATGTCTGCCTGGAGCTTTGCAGTGTCTGCAATGGAAGACACTGTCATGCAAAATTCGGGTGTCATCTGCAAAGGAAGACACGGTGGGTGTGGCTGACATCCTTGTTATGTCGGATATAAGGATGAGGAACAAGATGGGAGCGAGTACTGTGCCTTGTGGAACAGAGCTTTTCACCGTAGCTGCCTCGGACTTTACTCTGTTGACGACTACTCTCTGTGTTCTGTTAGTGAGGAAATTATAGATCCATCGACCGACTTTTCCTGTTATTCCTTTTGATCTTTCCTCTGTAATGTTGGTAGTAAATAGGGTGACTTGGTCTTTTAGAGTGTTGATGGTGCCTAGGGACTGGGTGTGGGTGTTGCTTTGTTGTTCTTGAGTGTCTAGTTTATGGTTCTAGAGCAGTGATCTTGTTGAGGGTAATTCTGCATGTTTAGCCTTTAGTTCTGCATTTCTTGAGTTAGTTTGGTGATTCGTTTTGGTACGAATCATAAGGTGTTTTATGCTATTCTGGGTCGGTGATCTTCTTGCATCAAATCACTGGGAAGGAGTTATATGATGGTACTGTAGCGGCGCCATGTTTGGCTTGTTGTCCTGTCGTGTGTGTGGTGGTGGCCGGTGGGTGATGAGGGTTGTGTCCTGGCTGGCAGTACCACAAGTTTTCCCTCGTGTTATTACTGCTTCAGATTTGATGTTAGAGTCCTTAGCTGGATTCTGGATCTTTTTTATTGTTCTGACCTAGTCCATTGGCTGTGCCTTCGGGGAATGGTAGGCGATGGGTTGATGGCTGTGTATGTTGTGGGAGTATCTCTTCAGTGGCAGCGGGGTAGGAGTTGCTAGTACGAGTCCTATTAGTTGGTAAATTTGTGAACTTTTGGGTGATTCCTGCAGTTGCTTTATATCATTCTGGGTATCCACACATGTTAGCGTTATGCGGGTCTTGATTAGGTCATCACTGGGCTGCTGGGAACCTCAGGTAGAAGTAAAAATAGAGGACAAGGTTCCTGTTGCCGCTGCCGCTGCCGCTGCCGATCAAAACAGTATCAGGGTACACGACAAATTCTAACCATACATTAGAGCAAAAAAGTAATGTGAAGGACCTTGGAGTGATAATGTCAGAGGATCTCGCCTTCAGAGACCACAACAATGTATATACCTCATCTGCTAGGAAAATGATAGGATGGATAATGAGAACCTCAAAACTGGGACGCAAGCACATATGATTATCTTCAAATCGTTGTGCTCTATAGCAGGTTACTGTTTACACTAACGGCTCCCTTCAAGGCTGGCGGCATTGCAGACCTGGAGAGTGTACATATAACTTTCACGGCACATGTAAGTACGATATGGCACCTAAACTACTGGGAACGGTTTAAAGTCCTTGATCTGTATTCCCTGGAATGCACGTCTGGAGAGGATGGTACCTACCAGCACACAAAAAATACTCCCCTGTGAAAGCAAATGGATCGGCAGAAATGCTAACATTCCCCGATGGTTAAACAGGGACCGCCTCGAGTTATACTCAGAGACAACACAGTAAGTGTCAGGGGCCCATGGACTGTTAAACTGCCCCTCCCTGGCGTCAGGAACGGGGGAATTAACAATAGAGACCTGGCTCGTTTCAGAAGGTACTGGACAGACACCTAGAGTCTGTTACCTGACGAACGGGCGTGGTTAGTAGTCCAGCTTGCATGCGGCCAGCTCGTAACAGCATGGTTGATCACGACCCCTGATCCACATGATGCTTGGTCTCAGACTAGCCGCAGTGAGCGTTGAGCCCGAAACCCTCTCCAGGTAAACCTCACGAGTAAACATCATGGGTATGTGGTACTCCTACAAACAAGTAGGTATGTGGTAGTACCACATACCATGGTTTACAATAAACTATTTTCAATCTGTTATAAACACAGCTTGTTTTAATATTTATAGTTTGTAATAAACATAGTCATTATTTTGTGTGATATACAATAGTTAAAAGTTACTATAAATGAATCCTGGTTTTATTCTTCATTAAAAATATAACGAAATTTTTTATTAAAGTTGTTTAAGTTATTAAATAATAATAATAATATATATAATATTAACACGAGGCTCCCATATCTTTCCTGATTTTTGATGGCGGGTGGAAAGTGTTGTGTTGAGGAGCTCTTGATTCAACTTACTGGAGCAAGTCTGCATTAAACACTATTACTGTTATTGTCCAGGTAGTATATTGCACTTAACAAGGTTTTACATATTTAATAATAATAATTATTATTTTTATAATTGTAACATAAATAATACGAGTTATTCCTGATTATTTTTATGGAGGTAAATTTAGTGAGTGACGCCGAGGAGCACTTGTGTCTACCACTTATTTCTTGTGGCTACCACTATTTCTTTGTGGCTACCACTTAATATCTTGTGGAGCTACCAACTTATTTCTTGTGGCTACCCTTGTTACTGTCTATACACTTGTTATTGTCTCTGCTTTGTTACGTGTGACAACCTACTTGTTACTTGTCTCTACCACTTGATTACTTGTCTCTCCACTTGTACATGTTCCTACACTTGTTTATTGTCTCTACCCACTTGTCCTGTTTACTTGTCTTCTACCAACTTGTTTAAAACTTTATTTGGTCTCTACCTCTGTTAATCTGTGTCTACACTTGTTACTTGTGTCTACCCACTTGTTACTTGTCTCTACCACTTCGTTACTGTCTCTACCATTTGTTACTTGTCTTCTGCCAACTTCGTTCTTGTCTCTACACTTGTTATTGTCTTACACTGTTTACTTGTCTATACACTTGATACTTGTCTCTGCCACTTAGTTTATTGTCTCTACCACTTGTTATTGATCTCTACCAACTTGTGATCTGTATGTTTACCACTTGTACTTGTGTATACCATTATTTCTTGTCTCTACTACTTGTACTTGTGTCTACCACTTATTTCATGTGTCTACCACATTTCTTATCTTACCACTTATTTCTTGTCTCTAACACTTTTACTTGTGTCTACTCCAATCTGTTACTTGTGTATACCATTTATTCTTGTCTATCACTACTTGTTACTTGTCTAACCACTTGTTACTTGTGTCTAACACTTGGTACTTGTGTCTACCACATTTATGGTCTACCAACTTATTTCTGGTCTCTACCACTGTTACTTGTTCTGCCACTTGTACTTGTTCTACCACTTGTACTTGTCTATACTACTTGGTACTTGTGTCTACCACTTGTTACTGTGGTCTGCCACTCTGTTTACTTGTTGTCTACCACTTATTTTCTTGTCTACCACTGTGTTACTTGAGGTCTACCACCTGTTACTGATGTCTACCACTTGTTAATTATTGTATACCACTTATTTCTTGTCTTCACTTGTTACATTGTCTCTACCACTTGTTACTTGTGTCTCTTACCCAAGACTTTGTTACTTGTGTCGTCACTAGTTACTGGGCTCTACCATTTTTTCTTGTCTCTACCACTTGTTAAGTGAGTGTCTACCACTTGGTTCTCTTGGTCTTACCACTGTTACTGCGTCTACCACTTATTTCTTATCTCTACACCACTTGTTAATTTTGTCTACACTTAGTTCTTGTGTCTACCACGCATTTCTTTGTCTCTACCTCTTATTTCTTGTCTCTTACCACTTGTTACTTGTTCTCTACCACTTGTACTTGTCCTAAAACGTGTTATTGTCTCTTACCACTTGTTACTTGTCTCTAACCACTTGTTACTTGTCTCTTTTTACACTTTGTTTACTTGTTCTACCACTTGTTACTTGTCTCTACCACTTGTTACTTGTCTCTACCACTTGTTACTTGTCTCTACCACTTGTTACTTGTCTCTACCACTTGTTGCTTGTCCCTACCACTTGTTACTTGTCTCTACCACTTGTTGATTGTCTCTACCACTTGTTACTTGTCTCTACCACTTGTTACTTGTCTCTAAAACTTAGTTACTTGTCATCTCTAACACTTGTTCTTGTGTCCTACCACTTGTTACTTGTCTCTACCACTTGTTACCTGTCTCTACCACTTGTTACTTGTTCCTACCACTTGTTACTTGTCTCTACCACTTGTTGTTTCTACCACTTGTTACTTGTCTTACCACTGTTGTCTCTACACTTGTTCTTGTCTATACCACATGTTACTGTTGTCTCTACCACTTGTTAACTTGTCCCTACCACTTGTTACTTGTCTTTACCACTTGTTACTTGTCCCTACCACTTGTTACTTGTCTCTACCACTTATTTCTTGTCTCTACCACTTGTTACTTGTCTCTACCACTTGTTACTTGTCCTACCACTTGTCACTTGTCTTTCCGATTGATTTATTGTCTCTACCACTTGTTACTTGTCTCTACACCACTCTGTTACTTCTCTCTACCCTTGTTACTTTGTCTTTACCACTTGTTACTTGTCCCTACCCACGTGTTATTGTCTTTACACTTGTACTGTCTGTACCAATTGCTTACTTGTCTTTACCACTTGTTACTTGTCTCTACCACTTCGTTCACTTGTACTTTACCACTTGTTACATTGTCTATTACCACTTGTTATGGTCTTACCATATTGTGTGTAGACGTATGTTGTTTTTTCCACTTGTTACTTGTCTTTACACCTTGTTACTTGTCTTTACCACGTGTACTTGTCTCTTACCACTTGATACTTGTTTCCTACCACTTGTTACTTGGTCTCTACCACTTGTTCCTGTTCTAGTACATTGTTAATTGTCTCTTCCACTTGTTACTTGTTCTACCACTTGTTACTTGTCTTTACCACTTGTTACTTGTCTCTACCACTTGTTACTTGTCTCTACCACTTGTTACTTGTCTCTACCACTTGTTACTTGTTCCTACCACTTGTTACTTGTCTTTACCACTTGTTACTTGTCTCTACCACTTGTTACTTGTCTCTACCACTTGTTACTTGTTCCTACCATTGTTAATTGTCTTTACTCCGAGACTTGTTACTAGTCTCTACCTACTTTTTACTGTATTAACTTGGTACTTGTCTCTACCACTTGTTACTTGTTCCTACCACTTGTTACTTGTCTTTACCACTTGTTACTTGTCTCTACCACTTGTTACTTGTCTCTACCACTTGTTACTTGTCTCTACTGTCTTGATACTTGTTCTACCACTTGTTACTTGTCTTTACCACTTGTTACTTGTCTCTACCACTTGTTACTTGTCTCTACCACTTGTTACTTGTTCCTACCACTTGTTACTTGTCTCTACCTACTTGTTACCTATGTATCTACACTTGTTACTTGTCTTTACCGCTTGTTACTTGTTCTCTACATAGTTACTTGTTCTCTTACCACTTTGTTACTTGTCTTTCAGTTGCCTAATGGTTGTTGTCTTGTCTGACAGTTGTGTTGTTGATCATTTGTCTGGCAGTTGTGTTGTCTGACAGTTGTGTTGATCAGTTGTGTTGACACAGTTGTGTTGTTTGACAGTTGATGTGTTGTTTGACATGTGTTGTCTGACATTTGTGTTTGACAATTGTGTTGTTTGTTGTGTTGACAGTTTTGTTGTGTCTGTTATATTGTCTGTCAGTTGTGTTGTCTTCTAGGTGTGTTGTCTGTTAGTTGTCTGTCAGTTATGTTGTGTGTCAGTTGTGTTGTCTTTAGGTGTGTTGCCTATGCTGGCACATGGTATAGCACATGTGGGGTTAGAACCCACGATCAGAGTCATAAACCTGCAGGTCCAGCTGGCTACAATAAGGTTAAGTAAGTAAGTAAGTTTATTCAGGTATACACAAATACAGTTACATAGAATTATCATACATAGCAGCATATGTGTAGAGAACCTAGGACATACCCTAACTCAAACCTAACCTTAACTAGGTATTTTCTCGAAACATAGGAAGGTTACATTGGCACACTGTCATCCACTGTCACCATACATAGGGACACACTGTCACTCACTGATGCTAGCACATCGTACGGAGTTTTTTAACTATTATCATGGTTCTATCCTCCACTCTCCGTGTATGGTTTGTTTGCTAAACCATTCATTTGATTTCGTGAGTAGTGTTGTCTGTCAGTTGTTTGTGTCAGTTGTGTCTTCTTGGTGTGTTTTCTGTTAATTGTGTCTCAGTTGTGCCTTTCTAAAGTGTGTTGGTCTATCATTTGTGGTGTGTGTCAGTTGTGTCTGGGATGTGTGTTTGACTTTTGTGTTTACAGTTGTGTAGCTGACAGGTGTTGTGTGTTGACAGACTGTTGTGTTGTCATCCAGTTGTGTTGTCTTAAGTGTTGTGTTGTGTTGTCTGTCACTTGTCGTTTTTGTTAATTATGTGTTCCCTGACAGTTGTGTTGTCTTCTAGATGTGTTACATAACAGTTTGTGTTATCTGTCACGTTATGTTTCCTATATATGTTGCCTGACAGTTGCGGTGTTGTCTTCCAGTTGTGTTGTATGGACAGTTCTTTTATGGGTGGACGTATGTGTGTCCGTTGTGGGGTCTTATGACAGTGTTGTTGTCTGACAGTTGTGTTGTTGGATCAGTTATGTTGTGTGTCTGTTGTGTTTGTCTGACAGTTATGTTGTTTGTGTCAGATTGTGTTTTCTGACAGTTATGTTTGTGTGTCAGTTGTCGTTGTCTGACTGCTTTTATGGTTTTTTGTTTTGTTGTCAGTTGTGGTTGCTTGACAGTTGTAGTGTTGTTGACAGTTGTGTTGTCTTGACAGTTGTGTTTGTTTGACAGTTGTGATTTGATTGTGTGTTGGTATGACTCAATTGTGAGTTTGTTTTGTTACTTGTGTTGTTTGACAGTTGTGTTGTTTGACAGTTGTGTTGTTTGACAGTTGTGTTGTTTGACAGTTGTGTTTGACAGTTATTGTGTTGGCTGACAGTTGTTGTGTTGTTTGACAGTTTTGTTCTTTGACATTTGTTGTGTTTGACAATAGTTGTGTTGTTTGACATTTGTTGTGTTTGACAGTTGTGTTGTCTGACACTTGTTGTCTTGTCTGACAGTTGTTTATATTTTCTGACAGTATTACTACAGTAACATCTCTGGTTATCATCACAATGAGTGAAATTTATCGTCAGTCCAAAATTGGTAAAGCTCTGTTAGAAAGTCTGGAGGAGATGATGGAGGTCAGTCTTGTACCTGTTGCCTCACATGTAGTACCTGTTACCTCACTTGTAGTACCTGTTGCCTCACTTGTAGTACCTGTTGCCTCACTTGTAGTACCTGTTACCTCACTTGTAGTACTGTTGCCTCATTGGTAGTTAACCTGATGCCCACTTGTATGTAGTACCTGTTGCCTCACTTTGTAGAAGTACTAGTTGCTCACTTGTAGTACCTGTTGCTCACTTGTCTAGTATGTTACATCACTATTGTAGCTCTGTTGAGTACAGTGTGTTAGTACATGGTACCTAACTTGTAGTGCCTTTTACTCACTTGTAGTACCCACTACCTCATTGTAGTACCTCGTTTACCTCCTTGTAGTACTGTTGCCTCACTTGTTAGTACTGTTACCTCATTGTATACCTGTTGGCCTCACTTGTAGTAATGTTGCCTCATTGTAGTACCAATTACTCACTTGTAGTACCTGTTACCTCTCTAGTAGTACTGTTGCATCACTTGTAGTACTGTTGACTGTCTCTTTGTAAGTACAGGTTGCCACACTTGTAGTACTGTTGCCTCACTTGTTGTACCTGTTTTGCCTCACTTGCTAGTACTGTTACCTCACTTGTTAGCACCTGTTGTTTCACTGGTAGTACCTGCTTACCTCAATTGTAGTACCTATTACTCATGTCGTACCTACTACCTCTTTTGTAGTACCTGATTACCTCACTTCGTGAGTACATGTTGCCTCAATTGTAGCCACTGTTGCCTCTCTTGTTTGTAGCACCTTTTGATTCACTTGTAGTACCTGTTACCTCACTTGTAGTACCTGTTACCTCACTTGTAGTTAACTATTACCTACTTGTAGACCTGTATGCCTCACTTGTTTGAGACATGTTGCCTCACTTGTAGCACCTGTTGATTCACTTGTAGTACCTGTTGCCTCACTTGTAGTACCTGTTACCTCACTTGTAGTACCTGTTACCTCACTTGTAGTACCTGTTACCTCACTTGTAGGACCTATTACCTCACTTGTAGTACCTATTGCCTCACTTGTAGTACCTGTTACCTCACTTGTAGTACCTGTTACCTCACTTGTAGTACCTGTTACCACACTTGTAGTACCTGTTACCTCACTTGAAGGACCTGTTACCACACGTAGTGCCTGTTACCACTTGTTGTACCTGGAGTTTACCTGGAGTTTACCTGGAGAGAGTTCCGGGGGTCAACGCCCCCGCGGCCCGGTCTGAGACCAGGCCTCCTGGTGGATCAGAGCCTGATCAACCAGGCTGTTGCTGCTGGCTGCACGCAAACCAACATACGAGCCACAGCCCGGCTGATCCGGAACTGACTTTAGGTGCTTGTCCAGTGCCAGCTTGAAGACTGCCAGGGGTCTGTTGGTAATCCCCCTTATGTGTGCTGGGAGGCAGTTGAACAGTCTCGGGCCCCTGACACTTATTGTATGGTCTCTTAACGTGCTAGTGACACCCCTGCTTTTCATTGGGGGGATGGTGCATCGTCTGCCAAGTCTTTTGCTTTCGTAGTGGGTGATTTTCGTGTGCAAGTTCGGTACTAGTCCCTCTAGGATTTTCCAGGTGTATATAATCATGTATCTCTCCCTCCTGCGTTCCAGGGAATACAGGTTTAGGAACCTCAAGCGCTCCCAATAATTGAGGTGTTTTATCTCCGTTATGCGCGCCGTGAAAGTTCTCTGTACATTTTCTAGGTCGGCAATTTCACCTGCCTTGAAAGGTGCTGTTAGTGTGCAGCAATATTCCAGCCTAGATAGAACAAGTGACCTGAAGAGTGTCATCATGGGCTTGGCCTCCCTAGTTTTGAAGGTTCTCATTATCCATCCTGTCATTTTTCTAGCAGATGCGATTGATACAATGTTATGGTCCTTGAAGGTGAGATCCTCCGACATGATCACTCCCAGGTCTTTGACGTTGGTGTTTCGCTCTATTTTGTGGCCAGAATTTGTTTTGTACTCTGATGAAGATTTAATTTCCTCATGTTTACCATATCTGAGTAATTGAAATTTCTCATCGTTGAACTTCATATTGTTTTCTGCAGCCCACTGAAAGATTTGGTTGATGTCTGCCTGGAGCTTTGCAGTGTCTGCAATGGAAGACACTGTCATGCAGATTCGGGTGTCATCTGCAAAGGAAGACACGGTGCTGTGGCTGACATCCTTGTCTATGTCGGATATAAGGATGAGGAACAAGATGGGAGCGAGTACTGTGCCTTGTGGAACAGAGCTTTTCACCGTAGCTGCCTCGGACTTTACTCTGTTGACGACTACTCTCTGTGTTCTGTTAGTGAGGAAATTATAGATCCATCGACCGACTTTTCCTGTTATTCCTTTAGCACGCATTTTGTGCGCTATTACGCCATGGTCACACTTGTCGAAGGCTTTTGCAAAGTCTGTATATATTACATCTGCATTCTTTTTGTCTTCTAGTGCATTTAGGACCTTGTCGTAGTGGTCCAATAGTTGAGACAGACAGGAGCGACCTGTTCTAAACCCATGTTGCCCTGGGTTGTGTAACTGATGGGTTTCTAGATGCGTGGTGATCTTGCTTCTTAGGACCCTTTCAAAGATTTTTATGATATGGGATGTTAGTGCTATTGGTCTGTAGTTCTTTGCTGTTGCTTTACTGCCCCCCTTTGTGGAGTGGGGCTATGTCTGTTGTTTTTAGTAACTGTGGGACGACCCCCGTGTCCATGCTCCCTCTCCATAGGATGGAAAAGGCTCGTGATAGGGGCTTCTTGCAGTTCTTGATGAACACAGAGTTCCATGAGTCTGGCCCTGGGGCAGAGTGCATGGGCATGTCATTTATCGCCTGTTCGAAGTCATTTGGCGTCAGGATAACATCGGTTTAGGCTTGTGTTAATCAAATTTTGTGGCTCTCTCATAAAAAATTCATTTTGATCTTCGACTCTCAGTCTGGTTAGCGGCTTGCTAAAAACTGAGTCATATTGGGACTTGAGTAGCTCACTCATTTCCTTGTTGTCATCTGTGTAGGACCCATCTTGTTTAAGTAGGGGCCCAATACTGGACGTTGTTCTCGATTTTGATTTGGCATAGGAGAAGAAATACTTTGGGTTTCTTTCGATTTCATTTATGGCTTTTAGTTCTTCCCGCGATTCCTGACTCCTAAAGGATTCTTTTAGCTTAAGTTCGATGCTTGCTATTTCTCTGACCAGTGTCTCCCCTAGCATTTCAGATATTTTGACCTCTTTTAGCCGCTCTGTTATTCTTTTCCGTCGCCTGTAAAGGGAGCGCCTGTCTCTTTCTGTTTTACATCTACTCCTCCTTTTTCTTAGAGGAATAAGCCTTGTGCATACATCGAGTGCTACCGAGTTAATCTGTTCTAGGCATAAGTTGGGGTCTGTGTTGCTTAGTATATCTTCCCAGCTTATATCGGTTTAGGACTTGGTTTACTTGGTCCCACTTTATGTTTTTGTTATTGAAGTTGAATTTGGTGAATGCTCCCTCGTGACTAATCTCATTATGTCGGTCTGGGGCTCCGCGCATACATGACTGAACCTCATTATGTTGTGATCTGAGTATATTGTTTTTGATATGGTGATATTTCTTATCAGATCATCATTGTTAGTGAAGATGAGGTCTAGTGTATTCTCCAGTCTAGTAGGCTCTATTATTTGTGGTTTAAATTGAATTTTGTGCAGAGATTTAAAAGCTCGCGTGAGTGTGAGTTTTCATCAGAGCTGCCTCCTGGGGTTATTACTGCAACAATATTATTTGCTATATTCCTCCATTTTAGGTGCCTTAAGTTGAAATCCCCCCGAAGCAAGATGTTGGGTGCAGGAGCTGGAAGGTTTTCCAGACAGTGGTCAATTTTTAACAGCTGTTCCTGGAATTGCTGGGATGTTGCATCCGGAGGCTTGTAGACTATCACAATGACTAGGTTTTTGGTTCTCGACCTTTACTGCTAAAACTTCCACTACATCATTTGAGGCATTTAGCAGTTCTGTGCAAACAAGTGACTCTGCAATGTACAGGCCAACCCCCCCCTTTTGCCTGTTCACTCTGTCACATCTGTATAGGTTGTAACCTGGGATCCATATTTCATTGTCCAAGTGATCCTTTATGTGGGTCTCAGTGAAAGCCGCGAACATTGCCTTTGCCTCTGCAAGCAGTCCACGGATGAAAGGTATTTTGTTGTTTGTTGCTGGCTTTAGACCCTGTATATTTGCAAAGAAGAATGTTATCGGACTGGTGGTATTGTTGGTACTGGGGGGGGATTTTTTTTTCGGCATTAGTATCTGTATCTGTTGGTTTGGAGTGGAGGCCATCGACTGTGGTTCCACTCCAGGAATGACTGGATTTGGTGTACGATTTTGCCATTTCCTGCCAGTTTTTTTTCCTTCCTGGCACTAAAAAACCTCTCCCTCTTGAGTGGCTGTGGCTACCCAGGTTTTCCCATGGCCTGGATGTTTTGTATCTTTTTGTCCCCTTTAGATGGTATGCCTGGCAATTTAAATTATAGCACAGTCTTTCCTGTACTGAAGAGGTACACAGTTCAGGGTGAAAAAGCTTACAGGAAGGGAGTTTGCATTTTCCTGTTGTCATATGGGCATGGCATTTCCTAGGGTGGTCATAGTTGCACGTCCCATCTGTTTTTCCAGATTTCCCATGCCAGCAGATACCGAGTGCATAGTATGTGCACAGGCTTGGTTTCCGTTTGCCTTGGGTTTCTGTGACTGTATTCCCTGTTGGTGCATGTTTCCCTGTCTTACTTCTATCCTCCCTAGCACCAACAATGGAGCTCCCACCATTTGTTTTTGGTAATATATCCTCACTATTGCTAGTGGAGTCCTCTTGTTTGCTATTTCCTGTGGTATTTCTAGTTTGCAATATTGGTTTTATCTTATCTTTGACTACACTTGTTTCCCTACTATGGCTCCTGTCCCCTATGCGGTCATTCATATGTATTCCTTCCTGCGTATAATTCCCGACTACCTGGACAAAATCTCCAGCTTCACCATTACTGTCTCCCAG